TCTTATGAGGAGGAGCCGGTAGCTATTCTGGACCGGCAGGTTCATTAGTTGAGATCCAAGAGTTTTCCTTCTGTACGTGTTCAGTGGAGAGGTCAGCCTCCTGAGGCATCAACCTGGGAGTCCGAGTCTGATATGCGGAGTCGTTATCCTCACCTTTTCCCCGACTCAGGTACTTCTTTCTTTTGTCCATTCGAGGACGAACGGTTGTTTTATAGGTGGAGAATGTGACGACCCAAAGGGTCATCACTTGTTTCCTTACTCATTTTGTGCTTCCGAGGCCTTAAAACCTCATTTGGGGTTGCCTCGATTTGCGTGTGCAGTCCGGGCACGTAACCGGAAAACTTAAATATGAATTCTGTGAGAAAAATGATAAGTTTTGATTATAAAATGAATTAATTTGACCTTGGTCAACGTTTTGGGTAAACGGACCTGGACCCGTAATCTGACGGTCCCGGAGGGTCCGTAGGAAAATATGGGACTTGGGGGTATGCCCGGAATCGAATTCCGAGGTCCCAAGCCCGAGAAATGAATTTTTGAAATAAATTGTTTTCTGAAATTGTTTATATGGTTTTGAAATGAAATTTGATTAGAACCTGATGGTATCGGGCCCGTATTTTGGTTCCGGCGCCCGGTACGGTCTTATATGTGATTTAAGACGTTTTTGTGAAATTTGGTGAAAAACGGAATCCATTTGACATGATTCGGACCTTAAAAGCAAATTTGATGTTTGACGAAGTTTTGTAAAATTTCATTGATCTTGAGGTTTAATTCGATGTTCATGATGTTATTTTGGTGATTTGAGTACACGCATAAGACCGTAGGATGTTTTTGAGGTTGTGTGTATATTTGGTTTGGAGCCCCGATGGCTCGTGTGAGTTTTGGATAGGCCACGGGGAAATTTTGGACTTAAGGAATTGCAGGCCTGCAGGTTTCGCATTTTCCAAACATTTTTCGCAATGCCCAGGATTGTTCGCATTTCCCAAACTTTCTTCGCAATTCCCAGGTCCGCATTTCCCATATATTTTTCGCAATTACCAGGCATGTTCGCATTTTCCAAACTTTCTTCGCAATTCCCAGGTTCGTAATTCCCAAACTATTTTCGCAATTCTCAGGCATGTTCGCATTTCACAAACTTTCTTCGCAATTCCCAAACTATTTTTGCAATTCCCGGGTTCGCAATTCCCAAACTTTTTTCGCAATTCCCAAGCCTGCAGAGGTTGGTTCGCAATTGCGAACACCTGTTCGCAATTCCCATATCAGAGACCTGCAACTTTTATACTTAGACTATTTTAAACCCATTTTTCATATTCTCTTAAAACCTAAACACACTTAGGCGATTTTTCAAGGATTTCTTCTTCTCCAAATCAATTATTCGAGCAGATTGGAGGTGGAATCTCGAGGTAAAGCCATAATTGAGACTTGAGTTGAATTCAAGGCATCGATGTAAGTGTTTGGTCTAACCCTAGCTTGAGGAAATAGGAGTTGAGTCTTATTTGATACTTATTGATTGTCGAGTACGATGTATAGGCATGGTGACGAATATCTATACATTGGTGTCTAGCATGACCGTGAGTCCTTATTTTGCGAATAGTTTGGATTTTGTTATACCTTCCATGCTTAATTGATGACTTCTATATGTTGTAAAGAGCTTGTGAAAGGAATTGTGATCTTTAAACTTCGTGGAGCGTTGGCTCGAGTTGAAATACAAATTGTGAAGGTATATGAGATAAGTAAATCTTTGGAGCATTGGCCCGAATGATAATGTGAACTATGTGATGAAAGTGAAAGAAAGAGAAAGAGTTATTGATCTATTCCCTTGCGGGGACGTTGTTGATTATTGAATATTTTCCCTTGCCGGGACGTTGAGATTATTGATGTTGTACCCTTGCCGGGATTTAATTGATTTATTGTGTTCCCTTGCCGGGATTTCTATTACTAATTTTTTTATTCCCTTGCCCTTGTTTGTGATTGTTGTTTGGGTGAGGGAGAGTGTAAAGCACGAAGGGTGATGCCGTGCATTGTTTGTTTATTGTGAGGAAAGAGTGTAAAGCACGAAGGGTGATGTCGTGCATTGTTTGCTATTGTGAGAAAAGAGTGTAAAGCACGAAGGGTGATGTCGTGCATTGTTTGCTATTGTGTGGAAAGAGTGTAAAGCACAAAGGGTGATGCCGTGCCGCACGATATACCATTCCGTGCCAATTCTATTGATTATATGTGAGGAAAGAGAGTAAAAGCACGAAGGCTGATGCCGTGCACATTTTGTTATTCTATTTGCTTGGTAAGGACGAGAGTAAAAGCACGAAAGGTGATGCCGTGTACTTGTCTTTGATTTTCCTGATTTTTTGCTGATAATTGACATATGTTGTCCTTTACTTCTATTTATTAATTTTCTGGTATTCATCGGTTCAAGTGCATCAATTGTCTGATTCCCCCGTTATTGAGATTGTTTATGTTGGCATTTTCCTTTATCATGTTACTTGTTATTATTGGCTCGATGTATCCTTGCGCAACATTATGCTTTGAAATTATGCTATAATTGCTACATGTTTATGTGATTTAATTGCTACTTGATATTTAGCATACTAAATGTTAAATTGCCTATTTTCTCCTTATAATCCATAATTAATTGCTATTTGTCAATATTTATTTTCCTTAGTGAATCATAAATCTTGTGTACTTGTTGCCTTAAGAACTCGTATTAATTGTTGCGTTTGTTAGAGTAAATTTTCTTTTGGAGGAACTGTTGATTTAATGAAATGGGAGCGGGTGGTACGCATACCACAAGTGATATTGAAATGGGAGCGGGTGGTACGCCTACCACGAGTGATATTGAAATGGGAGTGGGTGGTACGCCTACCACGAGTGATATTGAAATGGGAGCGGGTGGTACGCCTACCACGAGATATTGAGAAATGGGATCGGGTTGCACGCCTGCAACAAGATGAGTTGAACATGAAAGTTGCCTTATCTCTTCATTTACTGCTAGAAGTTAAATTGCAGATGTACGCTTTATTATTCCTGAAATTCTATTTCTAATTGTTGCCCCTGAAGCATGCTCCCTTCCTCAGCTTAAATTGTTATTTTCTTGCTATGTCTCCGTTGTACTTGTATATATATATCTGCACAGGTTTATTTGGTGGTCTGGTCCTAGCCTCGTCACTACTTCGCCGGGGTTAGGCTAGGCACTTACCAGCACATGGGGTCGGTTGTACTGATACTACACTTTGTGCTATTTTGCACAGATCCGGGCTTCGGACAGCAGCAGCAGTAGTGTGGGAGCAGGCTTTCAGCCCAGCGAGACCCGAGGTAGCCTTGCAGGCGTTCGCAGGCCCTGACGTCTCCTTTCATCTATATTCTTGTTTCTTTCATGTATTTCTGGAGACAGTGTCAAGTTTATTTCTTTCAGACCTTTATGTGTAGCATCCTTAGACCGTCTGTGAAACTGTGACACCAGTCTTTGGTAGAGGCTTTTGTTGAGATTTTTCCGCATATTTATTCAGTTTTCTATAATATTGAGACTTCCGCTTATTATTAAATTTCATGGCTTTGTATTATTGCCGATAATTGTTAAAAGAAATTATGTTATTAATGAAAAAGTAATTAAATTTGGCTTGCCTAGCTCTCATTAGTAGGCGCCATCACGACTCCCGAGGGTGGGAAATCCGAGTCGTGACACCTGTGTTGTGAGGATATCATGGGATCAGGTTGCGCGCCGCAGCATGTTGTACTATTTTGTGATATATGAGAGGCCGAGGGCCTGATTTATTATGCCACGAGATGGCATATGATAGCGCTTGGATTGTAGGAGCCCCTTCAGAGTTTGAACACCCCTAGTGAGCGCGGGTATCCTGAGTGAGTGATATGATGTTGCCCGAGGGGCTGTTCTTGATTCATGTTGTGCCCGAGGGGCTGATTATGAGTGATTTTAAGGTTGCCCGAGGGGCTGGTTCTGAATGATGTTATGCCCAAGGGGCGGTTTATGATATATGTCTTGCCTTAGGGGCTATTTATGATTTTTATCATTCTTACTCTAGACTTTATTGAATCTCTATTGAAAATGTTAGAAAGACATTTTTCAAAGGAGTTTTGTTGAAATTAGATTTTAACAAGATAATTTGATTTATATACTATTTTGGAAATGTATTGTACTTACTGTGGTGCTATGACGTGGATTTATGTGTTTTCTTACTGCTCAGTCTTTATATACTTTTATTACTTACTGAGTTGGCATACTCACATTACTCCCTGCACCTTGTGTACAGATCCAGGAGTTTCGGGACGTGATAGCGAGCGCTGATCCATCATCCATCGCGGATACCCGGAGTCGGAAAGGTAGTTGCATGGTGATCGCAGCCTTGCTCTTCTCCCTCTTATCTTCCTTAGATTGTTTCATTATTTTATTTCCAGACTGTGATAGTCTTCATTGTATTTAGACAGACCTTAGTAGAGGCTCGTGACTTGTGACACCCCAATGTCGGACTTATGTTTCTTCCGCATTGTTATTTAGACTCATGTTGTGGGATTTTATTAAATTAATAGTTTAAAACGTCTTATTTTAAAATATTGGTTTGATTTAGGGTAGTGTCGGCTGGCCTAGTTTCATAATAGGCACCATCACGACCGGGTTGATTTTGGGGTCGTGACAAATTTAGAATCTAATTTAGGATTTCTATTTGGTTTGTTTAGGATTTTTAATTTAGTTAGAATTTTTTTTAAAAAAAATCAAAAGAAAAAAAAAAGAAGAAAGAACAAAGAAAGGGAATTAAAGGAAATGTTTGGTCTTGTTCATAAAATTAGGCCAAAAGCTCTCCATGGCCCAATTCACTCTCCTCCACCCAAGCCCAGACCTCCCCAAAGATCCGATCAGCCTCCCCCAGCCCAAAACGACAGCGTTTGGACTAAACTAATCTCAGCCCTCCTTTATTTTGATCCAACGGTCTGCAACTAACTACTCTTACCCTTTAAAAGTGTCAGACCTGATCCCCCTAACCCCTAAAATTTATTTCATTCTTCATCTCCATCACCCCTAATTTAACCCTAGCCGCCTTCAAACCGCTCACCACCACCGGTCGGCGGCACCACCCCAAACCTCCCCAAAACTTCACTTTATAACCCTCATCTTCCCCTCAACCCTAATCCATCATCATTTTTCCCATAAAATCACCCAAACGCCCTGAGTTTTAGATTTGAGGAAATCAAGAAAACCTTCAGTCTCTTCCTTTATGTTTTTCTTCGAGTCATGGTTTGTTTAGCTTCAATACCAAAGACTGCTGCCTTGACCATCTACGAACTACTATTTCATGGTATTTTTAAGTTCATGAGGTCTTCAAGAACAAATGTTTTCCATCACATTTCACTCCCTTTGATGTTCAGTGCTCAAAGTTGTCATATATAGCACTAAATGTGCTTTCGAGTATTAAATTAGTGTTCATATGACAAAATTGAACACTGACCGGATTCTTCTGCTGGAGCTTGGTCAATCACCAGTCCTTCTTAGCTAGCATTTGAGTGGTAAATTTTTTTAATTTTTCTCTTTATCTGTTTCTTTGTTAATTTCATTAATTTCTTGTTTTGCGCCCTCTTGTCTCTTAGTTTGGTTAGACGTTTGGCATATTACTTGTTTAATTGTGTGTTTTGCATGGTTAGTATTAGTTGAATACAGTAGTTAGTCACATATTTGAATTAGGATTTTTATTATTTAATTGCTTCATCTTTTGCATTAGCATTTCCAATTTGCGTGATAGTCTTTTTTTATTTTTCAGTTAACGAAAAATTTAAAAAGGGATTGAGAGGGAATTAGGAAAATAAAGAGGTTTCTTGTTGAGCTTTTGAGAACTGTCAGTAGGTATTAGAAAGGACTCAAGTATATTTAGATAAACTTGGAGTGATAAAAAGGGTAAAATACAGAATTTTAAGAGTGGAAAAATAAAAGAAGCTTCTAGGATAGGGACATCTGTCCCAATTTATTAAGAAAGATGCTGAAAAATAAATTTAAATATCTGAAAATAGGGACAACTGTCCAAGAAATTATTGCAAAAGATGATTCATTTCCAAAAAAACTAGCTGACATCTCATATATTCCTTCCCCTCATACAACAGACTCCCTACACTCTATAAAAGGATAAGAAATCTAGAATTGAGGGGGGGTCATTTTTTTACACACGAAACTCTCTGCATTTTTTTTTTCTTTGGTTCTCAAAAGAAAATACTCATAAGAATTCAATCTAGAGATAGAAAACAACAAACAAAAAAATTCAAAGCTGGTCTTCTTTTCACTTTTACTGGTTTTACTCCAAGTCTGTGTGGATTTTGAATTGGTTGCTGGGTCTTTGGGTTTTGGGTTCCTTGAATTCTCTTGGTTCCAGAAATTTGCTGGTTTATTTTTGTTGATCCTGGTGATGATGTTTACTATCGCTGCCTTTGTTTGGTTGCTGCTCAGTTCTGTTGTTTTTCCTTCATTCCCTCTTAGCCGTTATTTGGCTTTCAACTGACTCATCTGCTGTTTAGGTATTTCTCACGATTCTGTACAATAATTCTGTTTCAAAAAATGAATGTTGATTTGCTTTTTGTTAATGTGCTGTTGTGTTCTTAACATATAGACCTGAATCTTAAAGTAGCTAGTTGGTTTCCTTGTTGTTAAGTTCGTCTTTGCGGCAGATCTAACTTGGTCTTAATGATATTCTTGTGTGTTTTAGCCTTATAGTTTAGCATGATTGCTATAAAAATGCTATTTAGTTTGTCTTGTTTGGATTGACCTTTGTACTGCTTTTTGTTTTTCTCCTGCCTGTAAATAGCCTGATCAAATCTAACATGCTGATTATTTGTGGAATTGCAAGATTGGCCAAAAAGGTTTATGAAGGATGCCCAAATGGCTATATCTTTGTAAATTTGGGAGTGGTTGGAAAAGGGGAAGAAGTCACCAGATTGAAAGCATAGAATTAGATTAGATATTGTTTTGTATAACGGAAGACTGCCTTGGTTGAATTCGAATGTCGTTCATGCTATCACAGTTTCATGCAGTTTGATTCAATCAAATTTATTTTTTAGAATGAACATCCATGTTTAGCTTAATCCATAGTTAGCCTATTTTCTTATAATGATATGTTTTAAGATCCGAAGCCTCAAGACTCAAGCCTCATTATTACTGAACGTTGTGATATGAATTGTTTCATTTTTGAACCATTCGCTTTGAAGTTTTCAAATGATTCACCTGTTAATTGGCCACAAGACTATATAAAATTGTCCAGTGTGTTTTACTGTTAGTTTGTACTATCCCTTCTAGCCTCAAATAATGTAGAGAACGCAATATTAAATAGATTAGGATTTAATGCTAGACTTTGGTATGTTTGTTCTAATATTCTATAGAAACACTTTTACTTGCATTTTGATTTCTAGGTTCGTTTCTAGGCTTACGTTCATTAATTTTAATGTATTAGTTGGGCCGCACAATAACTAGCTTAATGATTTTAAAAGGCCCAAAACAGTCTTCCCTTAACAAACGAATCAGCCTATTCAAGATTGGGATGTGAATTAACCAAAGTGACCCGTCTTTTGTCGCTCCCTACTCATTTGTAGTTAAATTCATGAATGATCCCATAAATCATACACTTTCTCTACAACAACTTTTTCATAATATGCGGCCTTCCAAAATCTCAAATATAGGAAATATTCAAACCATGAGCATTCGTAGCTTTTCTCTAGGTGCGATTAAATAAATCATCGTGATTATGGGCACGGTTCCCGTGGCATAGTCATGATACCTAACCCCAATTCGAGTTTGCGTTTCACGTGACTCGACCTCAATTTCAAACAATAATAAAATAAGCGTATTGTAAATCGCGGGTGCGTTTCACGTGACGCAATTCTCAATATGTAAAAAAAACAAACGAGTGCGTGATATCGCGACTTGTTCAAGCAAATTCTATAAATACTAAAAGCGGTTAAAAGGTAAAAATGCATAATAGGTTTTTAAACATGTAACAAATCAGATAATTAGGCCAATTATTCATAGTTGAGCGACCATGCTAAAACCACGAAACTCGGGAGTGCCTCACACCTTCTCCCGGGTTAACAGAATTCCTTACCCAGTCTTCTGTGTTCGCGGACCAAAAAATAGAGTCAATTTCCTCAATTTGAGATTTTAAAATAAACTGGTTACTTGGGACACCATAAATTATTCCAAGTGGCGACTCTAAACTAATAAGTAATTCTATTTCGATTAATGTCACTTTTATTGAAAAAAACTCCCTATCCCCTCAAGAAAAAGGAGGTGTTACAGCTCTGGCGACTCTGCTGCGGACCGAACCTAGAATCTCTGATTCAGGGTTCAAGAATTCCAGCTTAGAATAACTGTAATACTTGGCTGTGTTTATTATCTGATTTTTTACGTGTTTGAGCCTAATGTGCTAAATGCCGATTTTTCCCGCTTTGATATTGCTTGAATTGTATATAAACTGTTACGAAACCCTCTTCTCTCTGAGTCTTCTAAATCTGCTAGGGACCAAACTCAGAATCTCTGGTTGAGGGTTCAAGAATTCGAGCTTAGAATAATTGTGATACTTGGTTGTGTTTATTATCTGATTTTTTTACGTGTTTGAGCCTAATGTGCTAAATGCCGCTTTTTACCGCTTTGATATTGCTTGAATTGTATATAAACTGTTACGAAACCCTCTTCTCTCTGAGTCTTCTAAATCTGCTGGGGACCGAGCCCAGAGTCTCTGGTTCAGGGTTCAAGAATTCGAGCTTAGAATAACTATGATACTTGGCTGTGTTTATTATCTGATCTTTTTACATGTTTGAGCCTAGTGTGCTAAGTGCTATGTTTTACCGCTTTGATATTGCTTGAATTGTATATAAACTGTTATGAAACCCTCTTCTCTCTGAGTCTTATAAATCTATTGGGAAGCGTGCGCTTCGTGTGGCTTCTTTACTATTAGAGTCATATCCTAACTTTAGAACGAGGTTCGGACAAGTTGCAAAGTCGGTGAAGCTTCCATATTCCCGATACGCTGCCCCCCTCAGCTCAAGTTGTCCGCTCGGGTAAGCCAGGTCTAGAACAATACACCCAGGTTTTAAACCTAGAACAACATAGCCTCATGCCGGATCCCTAGTAGGAATGCTTGTTTACATCACGTGCATTTGACTTTGGGGACTCAACACAGGATTGGGTCCGTCTAGGACAGGTGTACCCAAAAACTAAAAGACTATCCTGATACATTTTACGTGCTACTTGTATATTTATTTGCTCCGGCTTGTATGTTGACCGGATTCTAGAATAGGGAAGAAAATCAAGAAAAACCAAGATTGAGGTAGGAGAGAGAAAATCACCCGTTTTTTAAAATTCAGGTATCCGAAATATCCCGAAACACTGCCGAAATTTTGAATAAAAAAAGAAAAAGAAGAAAAGTCATTTCAAAATAAATCATATTTTTCTGTTGCATCAAAACTTACTGAACTACGCGGGTTTAATTCTCCCCGGATGTGGGATACGTAGGCAACCTTCATCAGGTCCAGCCCCGCTTTTTGCAAAAATAACCAAAAATATGAAAATGTCGTTATTTTGTCGTGAATAAAGTTAGGTGATTCCGCTTTTGTCCAAATATCCAGAAATATCCCGATCGAACGCCAGAAGGTTGTTTTTGCAATAATAGCCGCCTATGGCCCTTTTTTCTAGCTTTTGGTCATTTAGCAAACACAGTCCTAAAATCTTCCCTTCCGAAGTGCTGAAGGGCCGTATTTGCAAAAGTAACTGTGATTTGTTTTTAGTTGAATTTTGCAAAAATAATCTTTTCTGGTTATCTTTCAAACGAAATTCACATGTTTTAAACAGTCACCCTAATAATAAAATGTGCAGAATGAGCACCATTGAGAACTTACCTTTTCGAGTCGTAGATGAGATTCCATTAGGACTCCACATGTGGTGGAACGACCCGGGGGAGGTCAGCAAGCGTTTTGTGACAAAGGCTTTTGGTGGGCTCACCGGTCTTCTGAAAATTAAACTCAGGGTTGATATAATTGAAGCTTTGATACCGTTTTGGGATCTGGCACACAATGTTTTCCACATCTAATTTTGAGTTGACCCCTACGCTAGAGGAGATGGCAGGTTATGCTGGTCTTGACGGGAATCTCAAGCACCAATATCTAGTAGCACCGAGAATTGTAACCCCTCATATGTTTTTGGACCTTCTGAGCATTAGCTGGCAGGTTAAAGATGAAAATTTAGCCGGAGGATTCTGCACATTCCACTTCTTATACAGCCAGTATAGGGACCCCTGCGGATTTAAGGCTCCGGACACTAGTTTGAGTCATCAGGGAAATAAAAAAATGGGAAGCACGCAGAGGTTTAGCATTAGTAGTTGCATTTTTAGGCACTCTGATATGCCCAAGGAGTGACTGACATATAGAATTGGGAGTTATAGGAATGGCCAACTTTATGGTCAAAAAGGCCAATGACACTCTTATACCGATGATTCTCGCAAATATTTATCGAGATTTAACCATTTGTCGAGCTGGGACAAAGTTCTTTGAGGGTTGCAACTTGCTTTTGCAAATGTGGCTGGTGGAACATCTTTGCCATCGCCCAAGGTACATGAACTACGGTCTGACCAGACTCAATTGTATTAAAGAATATGGAAACCGAGTAAACAGTCATGAGTTGCCAGAAGGTACTGAGGCATGGTTCGCGTATTTAGGTTCTTTGACCGCAAACCGAATTGAGTGGACTTTCGATTGGCTCCCGGTCAATGAGGTTATTTACATGTTTGCTGGAGTGTGCTTTCTTTTATTGATGGGTCTTTGGAGTATTGTACCGCTCGGTCGTTTTAAGAATTAATGCCTCGATCCCCTATTAAATGCATTCTCCGTGTTTTTTTCTGCTATTATGAGTTTCTGGGAGGATTTAATTTTCGATAGTGAGATTTTCATATCAAGGTCGGAATGGAATTTCGGAAGTTGGAGAAGCTCCGTAGTGTTGAATGTGATGTGTGTGCAAAATTTCAGGTCATTCGGACGAGGTTTGATAGACTTTTTGATCGAAAGCGTAATTTGGAAGTTTTTGAAGTTCTTAGGCTTGAATCCGATGTTAAATTGGCGTTTTGATGTTGTTTTGAGCAATCCGAAGGTTGGACCAAGTTTGAATGATGTTTTAGGATTGGTTGGCATGTTTTGTTGAGGTCCCGGGGGCCTAGGGTGAGTTTCAGGTGCTTAACGGAAGTTAAATAGGACTTAGGAAGAATCTGAGTTTGCTGGACCTGTCGTAACCGCACCTGCGTGTGTGGGACCGTAGTTGCAATGCCGCAGAAGCGGCTAGGTGATCGCAGAAGCGAAATTTGGCCAAGGCTCCAGGACCGCAGGTGCGGCTAGGTGATCACAAATGCGGAGCCGCAGATGCGGCCAAGCGATCGCAGATGCGGACCCAGCCCGTTAAGTGAATTTCGCACCTGCGATGCCTTTTCCGCAGGTGCGGGGCTGCAGGTGCGCTCCCTTGACCGCAGATGCGGTAATCGCTGGGCAGAAATATGAAATTTCGAGGGTTCAGTTCATAACTTGGAAAAATCAATTTGGAGCTCGGGGTAGGGCGATTCTGTGGGGTTTTTGAAGAGAAGATCATTGGGTAACAATTCCTTACCCCTTTCTAGTTGTATTCCATTAATCTATTGTTAGTTTTATCGTTTAATTTCGAATTTGAGATGAAAATTGGGGAAAAATTTGGAGAAAGTTCTTAGACCTAAATTTTGTATTTTGATTGGGAATTTGACATTGGATTTGGATAATTTTGGTATGGTTAGACTCGTGAGAGTATGAGAATTCTGAAAATGTAAATTTTATCCGATTCCGAGACGTGGGCCCGGAGGGCGTTTTGGTCATTTTACCTAATTTCGCGTATTAGCTTAGAATTTATTTGTAGAATCAGTTACTTGAAGTGTTATTTACATTATGCAATTGAATTGAATAGATTTGGGTCATTTGGAGTCGAGTACTCGTGGCAAGAACGTGGTTTCAGATTGACTTTGAGCCGGTTCGAGGTAAGTGGCTTGTCTAACCTTGTGTGGGGGAAACTCCCCTTAGGATTTGGTTTGTTGATAATTGAAATGCCTTGTACGTGAGGTGACGAGTGCGTACTTGTGCTAATTGTTGAAGATCCATTTTCGTTAAGTAACTATAAATGTGATTTCCTTTTTCCT